AGGTAGAACTGTGACATTGTCCCTGCTCCAGCTTATCCAAGCCCATCCATTGAACTGGCTTCTGAAATTCTTCCTTCTCTGAAACCTTTCTGCCCAATTTTAAGCAGTGATAAATTGTGCCTATTTGCATCTCTTGAGGCTTCCTATTCACTCCCCAAGGAGCTCTGGCAGTGCAGCGGTTAAGCGCTCAGCTGCTAACAGAATCACTCAGCGGTTGGAACCCACCAGCCAGATGTGGCAGCTGGCTTCCGTAAAGATTTCAGCCTTGAAAACCCAGTGGGGCAGCTCTACTTTGTCCTATAGGGTCAATAAGAGTCAGAATCAATGCAACTGGCAATGGGTTTTTTTGGTTTATTCACTCCCCAAATGTGCTAACTCTTCGCTTCCCTTAAATATCCACTGTGAGTTCCCTGCCTCTTTAAAGATGAAGTCTGACTGAAGTCCAGACTAGGAAATCAGGACACGGACACGGGGAGAGAGATGTCTGATCCTTGTGATTCCTCCTGTGCGCTCTGATCTCATCCTCCACGGTTTCCGTGTGGTGTGTTGAGGATGCTGGACTAGAAATCAGAAGGTCTGGGGTCCAGCTCGGGCTGGACACTTGCTGGCATTGGGACCTTAACTCCCCTGAGCTCATTTCCTCATCTCTCCCTCCAGGATCAACATCAGCCCATCTTACAGAACTATGAAGATCACAGAAGATAATCCATATGAGTGCACTTTAAAACACCCTAAAAGATACACTGGTGTGTGAATGTGTGTGTGTGTACAAAGTTATTTCAGGACAGAAGTATTTATAATTATTTTAAATTTGACACTGTGGTGAGTACCTTCTCACCAAACTATACTGCAATCCTTTTTAAAGGGCCGAACTCTGCCTTTTTGCTCTGTACTTCCATTTTTTTAATAATCACTAAGTATCATAAGTAAATGTTATTCATTAAGCGTGTAAGGACGTGTCCATAGAAAAATTGTAAGTTTTGTCAAGTTGATTCACATAACTCAGACAAAATTGTCCCATTAGGCAAAAAAAAAAAAAAAAAAAAAA